GCAGTTGCCACCATGGTGGACAACAGTGTCTGTCTCTGAGTGGGAAGTGACCACTGGCCTCCCAGAGCCCAGGGTCTTCCTCTAAGGTACCCCTGTCCCCGTGAGGGGCCCTCTGCCCTCGCAGGCGCAGAGGCCAGGTCACTGTTCCACTGAAGCTGCTGTCTGTGCTGTGCCTGTGTCCCCACTTCCCGTCTGCATGAGGGGCTTACCTGCAAGGGACGGGGAGGCAAAGGCGGAGCCCTGATGGCCTGTGGTGCTGCCCACAGGGTGGGAAGTTGGGGTGTGCAGAGCGTCACCGCTGACCCCCGGGGACCGGCCCTGGCACAGTGCATGTCCCTGCCGTGGCTGTTGTCACTTCCTTCTGTTTTTATTTTTTGTTCTCAGGGAGCTTCTGAAAGACCTGTCTTAGGAAGTTGGGGTGTGGCATTTCTTCCCTCTGTATGCCCCAGGAAGTCCCAGGTCAGCCTGGCCCAGCTCAGGAGCCCACCGCACACACAGATAGACACACATGTTCACACTCACTGTCACACTCACACAAGCACATTCACACTCACTGTCGCCCGCACACATCTCACCACATCCTCCCTCAGGACACGCACCCATCACGGCCCTCTCCCAGGAGATCAGCTTGCGTGTGACTCACACTTTGGAGGTAGGCCCCCCCAGACTGTAGTTGGGGGGTTTTAAGAGGAAAGGCCTTAGGTCAGGGCTCTTGGCCAGAGCATGGCCCTGAAGTCCAGAATCCACCTGGCAAAGTGGGGGTGTGGGAAAGTCACTGATGAATGGGCCTCTCCTTGAGCTGGTGTCTGCCCCTCTCCTGTGTCCGGCAGTCACCACACTCACTGGACAGGGAGGTAGGCCCTGCCCTCTGCCCCAGCACTCAACACCACGGGTCCCCAGGGTGTGGGGCCGCTACTAGTGGCCCCCACGTGCCCAGGAAGTAGCTTCCGCAGCGCTGCATCCAAGGGCTCGGGCAGGCAGGTCCAGCGCACGGTCAGGTCCGGCCCTGCTCAGGCTCAGGGCGGGAGGCGTGGACAGCAGAGCCTCTGGTCCTTCCTGGAATGAGAAGCCGTGAGGGGAGAGAACCGGGCATCGCAGCTGCGTCTCCAGCCTGGGCTCACGCTGCCGAGGGGCCTCCACACGGTGGCATGTCAGTGAGAGCTCATGCTCCGTGACACTGATGGCCTGAGGAGGAGGACACACGGACTGTTCTGACTGTGGGCTCCTGAGGAGAATGAGTGAAAGGAATGGGAGAGCCTCCGGCATTCAGGAGGCAGATGGGGCCGCGTGTGGCCGCGCTAATGTGAGTGTCAGTGGGTTAGGGAGAGAACGGACATTCCACTGGTGGTTCCCCCATCACATGGCTGCTCTCAGGTCACCCCAGTATGGACATGGCAGGAGGGGAGGAAAGCACCCACCTCCCAGGAGCCCCCCGTAGCAGCTGTGGCTGGGCTTTCACACACTGTAAACCCCCCCCCCCACCACCACCACCAAGCTGGGGGCTTGGGAGCGCTTGGCTGTATTGAGTGTCAGCCCAGATGTGGGCTTAGCTGGGCGGGGTCCTTGAGGACGGACAGCCCTCTGGTTTTCTGCCTTCCTAGGAGTTAAATTCGTTTCCAGGCTGGTTCCTGATGTCGATAAAACTGCAGGGAACTCCTCACTGTGCAGTTGTATGTTCCTTTTTTTGTAAGGGAGTGATGTCATGAAGGTGGATGTCTGCGATGGGGGTGCCCTGCCTTGCCCTGCATTGCTCCTGTGGGATCCCAGTGTAGGGTGGCTGGGTTCCAGGGTGGAGGTGGGGGTGGGGG